CAGTTACAGCCTCCACCCAGAAGGAAATTGGTAAGCAAAGAACAGCAGTTACAATGCAAGTCCTGTAACTGAGGTACGCAGAGACAGACACCTGGGAAGGCAGGAGGGACTGCGCAGAAGAGGATGTCGAGGTGTCCGGAGCTAAAGGGCAGAGTGGATGTCATTTTGAACGGCAAACGGAGGAGTAGTGAAGTAATGCAAATTAAAAGACCAACATGAGCCATTTCATATACTGTTCTTGTTTTTTTGTTGTTTTTTGAGATGAAGCCTCAGCTGTCGCCTGGCTGGAGTGCAATGGCGCCATCTCAGCTCACTGCAACCTCTGCCTCCTGGGTTCAAGCGATTCTCGTGCCTCAACCTCCTGAGTAGCTGGGATTACAGGCATGCACCACTACACCCAGCTAATATTTGTATTTCTAGTTAGAGGCGGGGTTTCACCATGTGGTCAGGCTGGTCTCAATCTCCTTACCTCAAGTGATCCGCCCACCTCGGCCTCCCAAAGCGCTGGGATTACAGGCTTGAGCCACTGCGTCTGGCCTATTATTCTTGTTTTAACAAAGGAAGGACTATCAGGCATTTGGAAATCTCTAATGGTGGTAGTCATAAAATTGAACCAACTTTTTTTTTTTTAAATCTTACTGCTCATTTCTGTTGTTGAAGAAGAACAGATCCCCGACCCTACAACTAAACTGGAAAGAAAACAGCTTTAGGATTTTAAGTCTCATTGACAGAGGACCTTCTCCCTGTAAGACAGAGATGTGGCTTAAACAAACTAAGCACACATTGCAAGCTTCAAGTTTATATATGAGAAAACAGCGTGATAGAAAAGTCTTCTTGGAAACACTGCAATTTTTTTTTAAATCATGCAACGGGGTAAAGAGAAACTAATCATTTTTGGCCAGGCTCGGTGATTCCCGCCTATAATCCCAGCACTTTGGGAAGCCAAGCGTTTAAGGCCAGCTTGGGCAATAGCAAGATGTTTCTATTTAAAAAAAAATAAAAAATAAAAAATTAGTCAGGCATGGTGGTGTGCACCTCTAGTTCCAGCTACTCAAAAGGTTAAGGCGGGAGGATTGATTGAGCCTGGGAGTTCAAGCCTACTCTTTCTGTAGATATATATAAAACTAGATAGATATAGGTGTTATCTAGAGAGAGAGAAACCAATTAGTTTTATTTTTGTATTTTTTTTTTTTTTTTTGAGACGGAGTTTCACTCATGTTACCCAGGCTGGAGTGCAATGGCGCGATCTCGGCTCACCGCAACCTCCGCCTCCTGGGTTCAGGCAATTCTCCTGCCTCAGCCTCCTGAGTAGCTGGGATTACAGGCACGCACCACCATGCCCAGCTAATTTTTTGTATTTTTAGTAGAGACGGGGTTTCACCATATTGACCAGGATGGTCTCGATCTCTTGACCTCGTGATCCACCCGCCTCGGCCTCCCAAAGTGCTGGGATTACAGGCTTGAGCCACCGCGCCCGGCCTGAAACCAATTAGTTTTAAAGTGAGCATAGGCTGGGCATGGTGGCTCTTACCTATAATCCCAGCATTTTGAGAGGCAGGCTAATCACCTGAGGTTGGGAGTTCCAAGACCATCCTGGCCAACAAGGCACAACCCCGTCTCTACTAAAAATTAAAAAATTAGCTGGGCATGGCTTCGCATGCCTGTAGTCCCAGCTACTTGGGAGGCTGAGGTGGGTGGAACACCTGTGCTCAGGAGTTTTGAGACCGGCCTGGACAACACGGTGAAACCCCATTTCTACTAAAAATACAAAATTTACCCAGGCGTGGTGGCAGGCGCCTGTAATCCCACCTACACAGGAGAATTGCTTGAACCTGGGAGTCAGAGGTTGCAGTGAGCCGAGATTGCACCAATGCACTCCAGCCTGGGTGACAAGAGCAAAACTCTGTCACAAACAAATAAACACACAAACAAGATTCCTTCTAAATCCCAGTCAAATGCTAAACCAGACCTGGTAAAACAAAACTTTGTATGTCAGTGAGACACCATCGCCACCTTGTGTTCAACAGCCTTCATTACATTCATGTTTATTGCAAATGATCATACGAGGCACTCAACAATTACAGAATATAGCTTTATTTATAGAATCTTACAAATAAAACATTTACAGTCCACATAAGTTAATTTTATTTTCTAATTTCTTCTCATAACACCTGAGTTGTTTAAAAAAATACTGTGATGGAATTGCAGAACTGTAAAGGGAAATATGAACAATAAAATCCTAACCTCTCTTGCAAAAATCAGACAACTATTTATAAAGCAGATGCTCCACATGTTACCATCTGTTTGGAAGAAGACTTACTATAATCAGTTGATAATCAGTTCTTACGCTACCCAAACAGAGAAGCCTTCTTTTTAAAACCCAAGGTTAAGGACCAATGAAGCACAGCTCCAATTTGACACTAGACACAAAATACCTTTGGGGGCAAAGACGGGGCAAACTGCGTGCCAGTGGTGAGGGGAGCAGAAGCAGAACTCCTGCCCCTGCCTCACCGTTCCTGCATCTGACAGGCACTTTCCTTGCTAATTTCTTAATAGGAGCTGGTGCATCTGGGTAAAAAAGTCCTCCCAACGACTCGCTACTCCTTAGACTTCTACTCTGTACAAATACTTAAAACAGCAAATTCAACCCCTAAAAAGCAAAAGAAATTGCCACATTTTTGACTCATGAGGCAAAGCGGATGCCACAATCAGTGGCAACTCAAGTCCGACGATGTGAGCGTCTCCACCTCTCCTAAGCTCCAACTAGGACTGACTTCTGCGCCAATTACAGTTTAAAGAGGATTCCCTTTGAGGCAGCTGTCTATGAAAGGAAGTTTCTTTAGGTAATACAGGTGCGCACAGACAGGGAAAGCAACCTATTTCATGTAGCTTTGAGCTCCTCTTCTAAACTAGAAATCCACTAACTCTAACTTAGTATTCTACCCCAAGACAAAGGGAATTATGTTTAAGGAATGGCGGGGTCTATTGGGAATGCTAAAATTATAAATTGAATACATCAACGCGACTTAGGTAAAAGCAAAATCTTCCAGAGTCTTACACTTTTGAGTTATTTTCTGCTAGCTCCCGAAAGCAGTTTGAGAAAAATAAAACAGAAAAGACGAAGAACCGTTTTAAAACAACAACAATAATAGTGACAATATAAAAAGTTAGATTCCAACATTCAAGGAATTGGTTCTTTGGTAAAACTGGACCATAACCCTACCAGGAGTCAGTCCTGATATTTAATCTAGAATCTCCATCACTGAAATTTTCCTTCTTCAGCATATTCTCAAATGTATTGAAGCCAACAGGTGAGATAAGAAAAAAACTTAAAAAGTAACATCAGCAGTTTTCCTGCTCATGCTCTTTTCAAGAATATTCCTGGTGTGAGAGATGTCTCCCAAGAAGAGAAAACCAAATCGATGCTGCTTGTGATTACTGAGTGGACAGCTTTTCTACGTGAGAAGAGAAAAACTCAGGCATTGGTAATGAACCAGTGCTCCTGCCGGCCATGCACGTGAATCAGTTTGCAAACACGGCCCCTGAGCTGCAACTGCGGGCACCACTAAGAAAGGCTTCTGGAGAGACAGGCTCCCCAAAGTGGCTGAAGAATCTCACATTATCAATATGATAATAATAAATCAATTCACCTAGTGAACCTGGAAATGAGCTCCCCTTGAAGCCAGAGCTCGGAGGTGAGGGCTCCACAGTGCCAGAGGCTGGCCTACAGTCTTGCAGACAAGTGTCTGCAGCCATTTTCTGAAGAGAGTTAGATCAATTCATATTCAATTCAATACAGGATTTGACTTTTTTTTTTTTTTTTGCAAGGAAACAGTAACCTAGACAGGTCATTAAAAAGCCATGTGCAACATAATCATTAGGCCCGCCATTCTGCAAACATCTGTGATGCCCTAAGTGAAGTCTGTGACCTTACATTTCAGAGACCCCTGTTAGTCATGCTTTGATTTATGGAAGCAGCAAATCCTAAATTTTGCCTGCACTGATTCCATTTCTGATTACCCCTGTCTACGTACAGCATAAACGGCACCCCACTTCTGCAAGTCAGCTTGCCACTCTGCAGACATCTCAATGGGAGGATAGCTCATTGTGCAGTCTCCCCTCTAACACAAGGTCTCAAATGTGCTCCGAATGTGCTTCTAGGGAGGCAGCTACCAAGTCTCGTAGAAGATGGCAGTGGGGAAGAGGAGGTGAGAATCATAGCCAAACCAACTGTTTTTTTGCAGACAGCCTGACCCTCTGTTCTATCAGTGTTCATCTGAAAGAGGTCCAGGCAGCCACACCTCCACGTTAGCTCACCTGACAGCCATGAAACACCAGGTGCTGTTACAAAATCAATACCCGGCCAGGCACGGTGGCTCACGCCTGTAATCCTAGCACTTTGGGAGGCTGAGGCGGGTGGATCATCTGAGGTCATGAGTTCGAGAACATGAGTTTGAGATCGAGTTTGGGAGGTGGATCATCTGAGGTCATGCGTTCAAGACCAACCTGGCCAACATGGCGAAACCCCCTCTCTACTAAAAATATAAAAACTAGCCAGGCAGAGTGGCTCACGTCTATAATCCCAGCTACTTGGGAGGCTGAGGCAGAAGAATCACTTGAAGACGGGAGGCAGAGGTTGCAGTGGGCTGAGATCGAGCCACTGCACACCAGCCTGGGTGACAGAGCAACACTGTCTCAAAGAACAAAAACAAAAAACAAAACCAAACCCAGCATCTCAGTAGGAACAAGTGACCATCCTGACCAGACACACAGCAGTGGTTTGACTTCCTCTCCCTCTCAGGATGAACCCTGCCTCGCCCCTCACCCTGCTCATCTGTTCTGACTTCAGGTTCTCTTTGAGAGAAGTAATAGACAATTAAACAGATTTTGAAAAAATGGGAAGGCTTCCTGTCTCCTGTCTCTTCTTTCTGTTGGCCAGCTGGAGGTCCAGGGCGCCCAGCTAGAGTCATGGCCCCACGCTATGGATTCACCTCTTGATATTTCTAGCCAAGTTATAACCACCAGCTCTATTTCTGCATTGTTGGGTAAAGGATTCAAACCCTTTAAGCACTGGTTCCAAGAGAAGGAGGCCTAGGTAATAAGAGAAAAAAGTCAGGCTTGTCTTACAAGCTGCATTCAGGTTCCAGAGTCACTGAGAGAAAAGGAGGTGAGGAGAGGGCAAGAGGCACTAGCTAGAGGCTGGTTACCAGGGCAGCTTATTCCTAGGATCGAGCATTTACAGACGGCTGACATTTGAATGCAGGAATACAGTCTGTGTCAGTTTTGAATGGAACGGCCTCTTCTGTGGTGCTTTTGGGACGCTGAGTCCTCGGGCTGGGGATCGGGCAGCCCAGGGCCCGACTTCCGGTCCCACAGGCTCTTGGCAGGGCCCTACCCAATCTGGATCTGTCCTGAATACATGGTGAGGACCAACATGATGGTGAATCCAGTCAAGAGGCCCAGGTTCTGGATGACAAAGGGAATCAAGATGCTGCCCTTCCTTTCATCCTCTTGGCAGACCTCATTCATCTCAGGGAACTGAGAAAGAAGCGAGAAAAAATATAGCTGCAATTCCTTCCTTAATCTTGTAAGTCCAGGGCAATTCAGTGATGGAGATATAGATCAGGTTGGTTTGACAAAGAAAATCAACAGGACCAGGAGCAGTGGCTCACTAATGCCAGCACTTTGGGGGGCTGAGATGGATCTGAGGTGGGTGGATCACCTGAGGTCAGGAGTTCGAGACCAACCTGACCAATATGGCAAAACCCTGTCTCTACTGAAATACAAAAAAATTAGCCAGGCATGGTGGTGGGGTGCCTGTAATTCCAACTACTTGGGAGGCTGAGGTAGGAGAATAGCTTGAACCCGGCACACAGTGAGTGGAGATCCCACCACTGAACTCCCTCCTGGACAACAGCAAGCCTCCATCTCAAAAACAAAAACATAATTAAAAAAAAAGAAAATTAACAATAGCAGGTACCATGTTTTTACAACAATGTAGGCAAAACAAAGTATTCAATATGTATATGGCTTTGGATGGGTTTAGAGGTTGGCTAAAAATAAATGTACTCTGATTAAAAAAATAAACTTTTTATTCTAGGCTTCTTTTTCCTTTCTTGAGACAGGGTCTCACTCTGTTGCCCAGGCTAGAGTGCAGTGGTGCGGTCATAGCTCACTGCAGCCTCGAACTCCTGGTCTCGAGCAATCATTCCACTTCAGCCTCCTGAGTAGCTCCACAGCTGCCTGCCACCATGCCTGGCCTTCCTGTGGACTTTAAATACTTGAAGAGGTCTTTTTACTACCAAGATGTTATAAACAGGTTAGATGCAGTGGCTCACACCTATAATCCCAGCACTTTGGGAGGCTGAGATGGGAGGATCCCTTGAGGCCAGAAGTTCAAGATCAGCCTAGGCAACACAGAGAGTCCATTCAATAAAAATTCAAAACATTAGCGGGGCATGGTGGTGGCTGGAGCCTGTAGTCCTAGCTGCTTGGGAGACTGAGGGAGGAGGATCACTTAAGCTCTGGAGTTCAAGGTTGCAGTGACCTATGATCACACACTGCACTCCAGGCTGGGGAAGAATGAGGCTCTGTCTAAAAAAAAAAAAATTAAAGAAAAAGATACGCCCTATGCATTGAAATAAAAAAAGAAACAAACCAAAGTGTTGCTATTATTGTTTTAGGGGCAGTATAATAATGGGTAATTTTCTCTTCTTCCTTCTCTCTCTTATCTATATACAGCTATTCTATAAGAATTAATAAAGGCCATAGATTGAGTGTAATCATTTTCCTTAATGACATATGCTAACAAAAACATAAACTTTTCCTCCTTTAAAATCTAATGCCCCCTTAAAAACCACTGAATGGTAGGTACACCTTAAACAGACGAACTCTGTGGTATGTGAAAGTAAGCTAAGAAAATTGTTATTGAAAACAAACTACTGGCCGGACTTGGTGGCCCACGCCTGTAATCCCAGCACTGTGGGAGGCTCAGGGGGTGGATCACCTGAGGTCGGGTGTTCAAGACTAGCCTGGCCAACATGGTGAAATTCCGTCTCTACTAAAAATACAAAAATTAGCCAGGCGTGGTGGCGCATGTCTGTAATCCCAGCTACTCAGGCGGCTGAGGCAGGTGAATTGCTTGAACCCAGGAGGCAGAGGTTGCAGTGAGCCGAGATTGTACTATTGCACTCCAGCCTGGGAGACAAACCTAGAAAAAAATACCTACATAATGTCCCCTTAGCTGCCCTCCCATCCAATGAACTATGAAACACTTACCATATCAGCCAAAGAAATATACAAGAACATTCCTCCAGCCAGCGCAAAAATCCAGTTGGCAGAGAAGTGGCTGCCGGCCAGGATGCCAAAGGCCAGACCCAGGTAGCAGCAGCAGGCAGAAAGGAAGTTGAAGAAGAGAGCCTGTTGGATGCTCATCCCAGCGTTGAGCAGGATGACAAAGTCTCCTACAGCAGGGAGAAAGAGAAGGGAAGGAATGATGAAAGAAGAGTCAGATGGGCATGGTGGTGCACACCTGTAATCCCAGCTACCTGGGAGGCTCAGGTGGGAGGACGGTTTGAGCCCAGGAGTTTGAATCCAGCCTGGCAACAGAGCGAGAGACAGTCATACAAGGTCTTGGGAGACAAAGGGCACTGATGACGTCAGACTGCTAAAAGTGTGGGTGACAAACAATCAAGACAGCCCCAGACTCAAGACTGAAGTGACAAGACAGGCCCTTGAACTTCCTGTTCAGACCCGTCTCCATTTGCCAAACTGGCCATGTACCCAGCCTAGAGGCTGAAAATCTTTCCCAGGATTTTAAAAATAGATGACCAGCTGGCACTGGCCTTCTCATTTCTCTCTGGATTCATGGTGAAACAGAAGGAACCCCCTTCCTCACAACTACCATGGAAACAAAATAGAGATTGCAAGAAGTGATTTGCCCCAAGTCTCAAGTCAATACATGGCAAAGCCAGAACTTGACCCTCAGTTGTTCCTAAGCCTCTGGAGTAATTACTGGCTTTTCACACACCCCCTCTGATCAAACTAAGCCCCTCATACCCTCTGGCTCATCTACCTGCCAGGCACCTGAGCCTTTGGAAGATGAACAGGCTGGAAGAGAGAGCCTTTACTGAGTGCTCAGAATAGCACCTGGCACATGGGAAGTCCCTTTGTTTTTCTTTAATCCTCACCATAATTCTAAAAGGGGGTGCTCTTATTAACCCCACTGTATAGATGAGAACTGAGCCACTGCATGTGGGGCTAAAAGGAAACAGACACCTTTATAAAAACCCCATCATTTAAAATTATTTATTTATTTTTTTTTTTTTTGAGATGGAGTCTTGCTCTGTCACCCAGGCTGGAGTGCAGTGGTACAATTTCAACTCACTGCAACCTCCACTTCCCAGGTTCAAGTGATTCTCCTGCCTCAGCCTTCCAAATAGCTGGGATTACAGGGGCAAACCACCATGCCCAGCTAATTTTTGTATTTTTAGTAGAGACGGGGTTTCATCATATTGGCCAGGCTGGTCTTGAACTCCTGACCTCATGATCCACCTGCCTCAGCCTCCCAAAGTGCTGGGATTACAGGTGTGAGCCACCACGCCTGGCTAAAATTCTCTAGTTGTTAAGAAATAGTGATTAGAGTTCATGAAGCTTTGGGGGCATGTTGATCAGTTACAATAAGCACTGTGAAGGCGGGGAGATGGGAGCAAGGAATCAGCCACAGGAAGGGGGCCTGCGCTATCACCTGAGGGAGCACCTGGAGAACGGAGGACGCACGCTTACCCAGTTCGTGTGGGAACTCCTCACAGAGGATGGCCACCGAGGTGCTGATGCCCTGGAAAACTGACACAGTGAAGGAGGCACCGATGGCCAGGCCGTCGATGAAATTGTGGAGGCCGTCGCTCAGTGTGATCATCCAGGCCAGAGTGCCGATGTCAGAATAGCGGACACCTTTCAGCCAGTAGCAAGCACTCTGGGACGCCTGCAGGTCCTAGGAGAAAGTGTGCATGGAGTTAAAGGCTGGACCACGTGCCTTCAAGGTGAGCCTGAGGCACCCTTTTAGAGGCTCCACCAAGCTGCTGGTGGCCCACTGACCTGCACAGAGAGAGAGCCCACAACGACCTTCTCATCCACCACAGGCGCCTTGCCGTCCAGCTCGCTGTTGCAGTGCTGAGGAATCATGTGGTCTAGGTCCCCGTTCTGCAGCTTCTCCATCACCCCCTCTTCCTGGTCCTTCTTGGAGGGAAGCGTCTCGGAGGCATAATGGCTGTGTCCGTGGTGATGCTGGAGGGGCAGCAAGGAGAGCTCAGCATGACGGTCACCAAAACCACAAACCTGACCAAGCACCTGCTCCGAGGAAGGGCTCCATGCACTGGAAGACCTCAGCCCTACCACTGAAGAGGACACAAGCAGGTCACCTGCTTAGAAATGCTGCAAAAGCTGTTCTATGAAGCCGTGGCCAGGCACGGGGGCTCACACCTGTAATCCCAGCACTGCGGAAGGCCGAGGTGGGAGAACTGCTTGAGCTGAGGAGTTTGAGACCAGCCTGGGCAACAAAGCAAGACCCTGTTTCTAATATATACGTATATAAAGCCGTACCAAGTGCGAAGGACCTGGCGTCAGACAGATATCGAAGCTGTCGCCTCAGGGCAAATGCTTATTTCAGCAAGGCAGCCACTGCTCAAATATTTAGAGCTCCTCTCTTGCAATGGCTTATCTCACTCAATTCAGCAGCTATTTAGGGAATAACTGCGTGCCAGCCACTAAAGATATCTTTTTGAAACTGTATGGTAATAGTCAGTCCTGTTTCTCTGCAGTCATACTTCATACATAATGAATGTATGTTACCAAGCCCTTCTCCCCATCCTGTAAAAATGCAAATATATTAAGGAAATCATCTAGAACAAAACAAAGGGGATAAACTACTGCTGAGAAGGCACACTGGCCAGATCTGGTTTCTGGTCTGGCCTCACTTCAGGAGGTGAAATGGGATTATCTCCTCAAGAAATTAGAGTTTCACGAAATTTTTGATAGTGAGCTAACGCCATCACCACCACAGACATTTTCCTGCGATGGGTGCTTTCCCTAGAAGAGCTTCCTTCAGCAACAACTGGGCCTTACCTCATTTTTCTGCTTAAGAAGAATCTTCAAGATCTTCTCTGTGAAAAAGAAAAGATAAAAGCCCCCAAACACCACTGCAGACTTGGAGACATAATAATCTTCTAGAGGGTTGAAACCAAAAGCCTGTGGACCCAGGAAAACAAAATGAGTTTTAAAGAAGATAAAGCGTCTTCACTGGTCTCCTATCTCTTAACGACTTCCTTGACTCTAGGGGAGGAGACAGACGTACTGGAGGAACTCTGCCATCTACCCATCCTGTTTGCAGCAGAAATCTAGTCCTGGTGTTTCCCTGATTTGACATCACCAAACCCGCGAGGTTCTTCTCAAGTTTATTTGCTGATGCAAAAGACTGATCATCTGTAGAATTTTAATTCCAGAAAGAACAGCCTCTGATACGGTTTTCTACTTTTGATTTCTCTTGGTGCTTTGCTATGAAGGCATTCTCTGCCAGCAGATTTCATATTGAAGGAGCAGACACTTGTATTTATTTTCATCTTTTCTAGTGTTCCTGGCTGACCTGCCTGTAAACACAAAGGGAGATGGGTAATTATACTTTCTAAAATGGGAAACCCATTTCTTGGTTAAATAAGAAGAACTGCAGCGTCTTTCTGACCGCAGACCTCCCAGTGACCACAGAACCAAGAAAGCAGGCTGTGTCACTGTGAGCATCAATTTTTGGGTTTTGAGTCCTTTCTGAAACTGTCACTTACTGAAGAGGGAGGGAAGAATCCATTGGGAAGAGGACAGGAGTCGAAATCAAGAGAATTCTGTCCTAGGTTAAGCTCCTGCTTTATGGTGGGTTCTTGTGAAAGTGTCTAATGACCTGGCTGGGTGTGGCGGCTTATGTACTTTGGAGGACAGAGGTGGGTGGATTACTTGAAGCCAGGAGTTTGAGAATAGCCTGGCCAACATGGTGAAACCCCATCTCTATGAAAACAAAAAACAAAAACCAAAAAATTAGCTGGGCATGGTGGTACACCTGTAATCCCAGCTACTCGGGAGGCTGAGGCAGGAGAATGGCTTGAATCCAGGAGGCAGAGGTTGCAGGGAGCCGAGATCACGCCACTGCACTCCAGCCTGGGTGACAGAGTGAGACTCTGTCTCAAAAACAAAAAAGTATCTAACGAATTGCTCCTCTGTTTATTTTATTTTTTAAAATGTTCATGGGTGCATAGGAAGTATATATATTTATGGGGTTGTTCCTCTGTTTTCGGATGGGAAACAGGCCTTGAATGAACTCCCGCCCTCCCATAAATTGGTCCAAAATAAGAGTTGATCCCAACTTCAAGCAACTCTGGGCTGTTTGTTGTCTTTATGTTTTAAAGGGGCCGAATTTAATCACTACCTTCCAGGGAAACAACACTTTCGTGTTGACTTTCCAAGGGAGTCAAATCATCCAGGGGAAAAGTGAAGTGAAAATAGGCAACTAACACCTCTCTGCAAAAAGCCACAAAGGATGGTAAAGACAAAATCATGGCTTGAGCTTCAGAAATTCCAAAAGCTGGGTTCTACACTCAGGGATATATGCTCTTGTGCAGATCAGATCCCAATGGGTAAAACATTACTTGTTCTACCGATCCCTCAGAGTTCACCTAAGGATGGACTAGGAGAGAGCCAACTGACATTTTAGAAAACATCAAGTGTTGGCCGGGCGTGGTGGCTCACGCCTGTAATCCCAGCACTTTGGGTGGCCAAGGTGGGTGGATCACGAGGTCACGAGATCCGGACCATCCCGGCCAACATGGTGAAACCCTGTCTCTACTAAAAATACAAAAATTAGCTAGGCGTGTTGGTGTGCGCCTGCAGTCCCAGCTACTCAGGAGGCTGAGGCAGCAGAATCACTTGAACCAGGAGGGCGGAGGTTGCAATGAGCTGAGATCGCACCACCTGCAATTCAGCCAGGCGACAGAGCGAGACCATCTCCCAAAAAAAGAGACAACATCAAGTGTTGTAAGAGGCACATCGAGTCCTCTCTCTGCTTCAGCTGTGGTTCTGTCCAGGCCTGCGAGACCACCCACAGGGAGACGTCCTGTGCTTACTGTAATTAATGGGTCTGCTGAGGGGATTACACCAAATGAGATGAATCATCAGTTCCCTCTTCTTTTGTGGTGAGTTTCCCACGAACTTACCAGGCAAAGGTACCGTCAAGGTATATAAAACCAGACAGTGTTTCATTTGCATTACCTTTGCCCCAAAACGCCCTATGGACAATCTTTTTACTGAGACCTATGGGTTCTGATGATGTGTGGGTTGGTTTGTTTGTTTGTTTGTCTTGAGACAGAGTCTTACTCTGTCACGTAGGCTGGAGTGCAGCGGTGCCATCTCGGCTCACTGCAACCTCCATCTCCTGGGTTCAAGTGATTCTTGTGCCTCCCGAGTAGCTGGGATTACAGGTGCCCACCACCACACCCAGCTAATTTTGTACTTTTAGTAGAAACAGTGTTTCTCCATGTCGGTCAGGCTGGTCTCGAACTCCCGACCTCAGGTGATCCTCCCACCTCAGCCTCCCAATGTGCTGGGATTACAGGCGTGAGCCACCGCGCCCAGCTGATGATGTGTTTTAAACTTCTCTGCACCTGAAGCCTCAATCTGAGTGTGACGACTGAGCCAGGGTGAGCTTTCTACACTGCGTCTCTTCACTCCACATCAGATAGCACTTTCAGCACCAAGCACTCAGTGCTGCCGAAGAATCAATCATTCCATCCTCACAGCGTCCTCCTGAGGCTGCCTATTGCTTTCCCCATCTCACATCTGAAGAAACAGAGGCACTGTGAGGTCAGTGACATGCTTAGGGTTACAGAACCTACTGATAGTGGAGCTGGGATTTGAACCCAGCTCTTCAGCCTATGCTAGGCTGCCTCTCCTAGCTCACACCTAAGTCCTAGCTTCACTTTCCAAAAAGAAAGGGCCTCCAGGTGCCCTCTCCATGCCTTCCATCCAAATGGAGGCCCTCCCACTGTGCCCACCGGCGTGCTCCGGGGTGAAGGCCCTGGCTTGCCATACCTCCGGGATGAGCTGGAAGAGGGCGTTGGAGTAGAGGGTTCCAATCGCTAGAGCTATGAAGTAGAGCAGCAGCCTCTTGTAAAAGGTCTTCTTCATGAAGGGCACCACGCTGGCCCCCATGAGGGAGCAGAGGGAGATGACGGTCACGCAGAGGAGACCGTATCCCCACACTGCCATGTGGTGGGAGAGCCAGCCCCACCCAGGGCAGGGAGAGAAGGCACACACCCCATGGCACAGCAGCCACCATTTAGGGGGAAGAAGGTGGAGTGGATAGGGAGGTCACAAGGAAAGTTTGGTGGATATGAACGGAACAAAAAAGAAAAATCAGAGAGAGACAAGTAGGGAGGGAGAGAGAAATAGAAAATTTGTTAGTGATTCAAATCTCATGGAATTTCCTTCAATCAGTTCAGAAGAAAGGAATTCAAGGCGGCCTTGGAACCCTGTGACTTCCGCCCCTGTGGCCACCGGTAGCCCCAAATCATTCCTGCCAGTGGTGTGACTGGCCGGGCAGGGTGCTGCCTTGTCACACACCTGAGGTCTGCCCAGGCCTGTCAGAGAGGCTGTTCGAGACTTTGAACTCGAGGGCTCTCTCTTTCATAGGACATGCGAGCATGTGGAAAGGGGGTGGTCACTCTGCTGCTGCGTTTGCTTCTGCAAGTCCAATTCACATTGTGCAGGCTTGGGTGACACCACGACCACCTGGTTTGCTTTGTATGAGATACAACCAAGCCAGATGTGCAGGGCAGAAGGGATGGGGGATGATTAACGCCCAACACCCATAAAATTCAGTGTCTTCACCTCTCAACTTCTTTGCTTATTTCCATATGCTCTGAGAGGGGCTCAAGCATAGAGAACAGTGTTCCAGGATCACCCTGTCACAAAAAGATTTCTTTGAACATTTCCCAGTGTGACACTCCGTCCAGGCCCAGAAGAGGGCAAGATAGAACCAGACCAGGATGAGACACTTCCTGGCAGGCCGCAGGGGCGGAGCACGTGTGATTACAGCACTTCCATTCAAACAGGTCCAAAGGGTTTTCATTTCAAATCTTTAAAAAATTAACATAGTTCATTGCTGGAGCTGAAAAAGTAGCCCAAGTTGAGGCCTCTCCTGAAAAGTGCTTGTCATATCCACGCAAAATTTTGAGATGGCACCAAGATGGTGGACATTCAACCAGGAAGAACGGGCAAGGCACAGCAAGCCATCTGCTGTCTTTTCTTTTTTTTTCTTTTGAGACAAAGTTTCACTCTTGTTACCCTAGCTGGAGTGCAGTGGTGCGATCTCGGCTCACTGCAACCGCTGCCTGCTAGGTTCACGTGATTCTCCTGTCTCAGCCTCCCGAGTAGCTGGGATTACAGGCATGCACCACCATGCCTGGCTAATTTTGTATTTTTAGTAGACATGGGGTTTCTCCATGTTGGTCAGGCTGATCTCATACTCCTGACCTCAGGTGATCTACCCTCCTCGGCCTCCCAAAGTGCTAGGATTACAGATGTGAGCCACCGTGCCCGGCCGCTGCTGTCTTTTCTGGGTCTTTTGACTGGCAAAGCCTGAGAAGCTGCTGACATGGATCTCTGAGAAGGGCAGCATCCACCACTTCCTAAGGGGGTGGACCACACGTCCACGTATCCTCACCCCCAACAGCAGCATCCCTGCCTGAGCTAAAAAAGTGGACAGACTGTCAACTTGGGTCTTATTTTCATAGCTCCTCTGTGATAACAATTAAACAACAAAATTAACATTTCAAAACAGTGAAGTCAAGGTACCAGGAAGTCAGTCGTATCAGGAAAAAGTCAAGATGCAAGGTATGAAGGACTGAGGCCCCCTCTTCCATTTATCTTATTTTAATTTTGTTTGGTCTTGGTCTTTGTTCTGTGTTTGACACTCTATGCTAGAAATGATGGCCTTCTTAAAATTAAACAACACTCACTTTTTAGGCCAGTTCTGCGTATTAGCTGGTAACCTCTTTTCCTTCAATCTCATTCCAGATGGATAAGCTCTTGGTGCCCAGACCTGAGTACTGCCAAGATTTCTCCTTAGAATAGAGTGAGCACTGGCCAGACTAGGTGGCTCACGCCTGTAATCCCAGCACTTTGGGAGGCCGAGGAGGGCAGATCACCTGAGGTCGGGAGTTTAAGACCAGCCTGACCAACATGGAGAAACCCCATAGCTTCCAAAAATACAAAATTAACCAGGCATGGTGGTGCATGCCTGTAATCCCAGTTACTTGAGAGGCTGAGACAGGAGAATTGCTTGAACCTCGGAGGCAGAGGTTGCAGTGAGCCAAGATCACGCCACTGCACTCTAGCCTGGGCAACAGGAGTGAAACTCCATCTCAAAAAAAAAAAAAAAAAAAAAAAATCTGGGCATGCTGGCTTACACCTGTAATCCCAGCACTTTGGGAGGCCGAGGTGGGCAGATCACCTGAGGTCAGGAATTCGAGACCAGCCTGACCAGCATGGAGAAATCCTGTCTCTACTAAAAATACAAAAACTAATTTTGTAGGTATGGTGGCGCATGCCTGTAATCCCAGCTACTCAGGAGGTTGAGGTAGGAGAATCGCTTGAACCTGGGAGGCGGAGGTTGTGGTGAGCCGAGATCATGCCATTGCACTCCCCACCGGGCAACAAGAGTGAAACTCCATCTCAAAAAAAAAAAAAAAAAAAAGTAGCTCGTACTTAGCAGCAAAGGCATGGATGGCAGTCGGTAGCTGCAGCTTTCCTTTGATGCCCTATGTATGGGGCTTAGGAAGGTAGGGGAGACTGCCAGGTCCTGGGAGGGGGGAAAACTGGAAGAACCTTGCATCTGACAACACCTGCAGAGGCAGAGGAGTGAGAGGTGGGCCCTGAGACCCAGAGTTAGAAGTCATTGGTGGCTTTGTTATGAGGGACATGTTCAATTCTCAGATGGCAGTCATTGGAGCCCAGGGTAGAGGAGGAAGGGACTGGCTCAGCTGTGCCGCCCCAGGGAAAGAGGACGCGCATGATTCTGTTCTACTGCACCTCTGGGATGAGCTGGAATAGCGCGTTAGACAGCAGCGTTCCAATGGACAGGGCGATGAAGTAAGTGAGCACACGGCTGAAAAACGCTTTCTCGGTGCAGGGCAGGACGAGGACTCCCAGGAGAGAGGCCAGGTTAATCAGTGAGACACAGAGAAAACCAAAGCCCCACACTGTGGAGGAACAAGAACAGACGAGGGCCTCTATTACTGTGGGTGGGGAGACACTCCTGCTGCCTGGGGCTGGCCCGTTCTCAATTCAGGTATGCTGGGGCAGAACGAGCTCCACCAACCCATTAGTAACATTCGCTGAGTCCATCTCTCACCAGAGGCTGCGGAGAAGCCTAGGGAAGCTCTATGAAAACTGCTATCCAAAGGAAACTCACCTTCTCTACAGACAGTTGCAAATGGCATGGAAGCTTAAAAACCATAAAATCAGGCCGGGTGCGGTGGTACACGCCTGTAACCCCAGCACTTTGGAAGGCTGAGGCGGGTGATCACCTGAGGTCAGGCGTTTGAGACCAGCCTGACTAACATGGTGAAATCCCGTCTCTACTAAATACAAAACTTCAGCAGGGCATGGTGGCGCATGCCTGTAATCCCAGCTACTCGGGAGGCTGAGGCAGGAGGAGCACTTGAACCCAGGAGGCGGAGGTTAGAGTGGTTACAGTGAGCCAAGATCATGTCACTGCACTCCAGCCTGGGCAACAAGAGTAAAGCTCTGTCTCGAAGAAACAGAACAAAACAAGAGAAACCGTCCAAGTAAGTGACAGCAGAAAACAGCGACTTGCAGTAGCATAAACAGCATACTCCGGGTGCCAAGAGCAGGCAGCACACACCGGCCCTGTGGGGCTTTGGCAATCGGGGCGTACGCTCACAGCTCACGGCAAGCCCACTGTGGCCAGACCAGGGAGACTGGGATGGGGAGGGCAAGGAGGATTCAGTGGGCCAAGTGTAGCCTCCTGGAGGTCTTCAAGGTAAAACTATAAAACCAAAGTGAGCCAGGTGCGGTGGCTCATGCCTGTGATCCCAGCAATTTGGGAGACCAAGACAGAAGGATCACTTGAGCCGAGGAGTTTGAGACCAGCCGAGGCAATGTCCTGTTTCTACAAAAAATTTAAAAATTAGCTGGGCATGGTAGTGCACACATGTAGTCCCAGCTACTCAGGAGGTGGAGGGAGGAAGATCGCTTGAGCCCAGAAAGTCAAGGCTGCAGTGAGCTATGATCACACCACTGGACTCCAGCCTCAGAGACAGAGTGAGATTCTATCTTAAAAAGAAAAAAAAAAAAAAAAATTAGAAAAACCAAAGTACTGGGCCCCTGTGGTTCAACATAAAATTAAAAATGGACCAAAAAGGCATCCACAGGATGCTTGAAAAGTCCAACGCTCTGAACACGCACCCGCTACAGCCCAGGGGTCTGACAGTTTTAGGCCAGCCTTGCGAAGACAAACATTAACGGTACAATCATCGATCCCCCTCCTGACATTGACAAGCTCCTCCTGGATATCACTGGTTAGGCCTTCAGTGAGCAGCAGCAGCCGAGCCCGGGAGTCCTTGTGAGACAGGACAAGCTGGGAGACGGGCTCCTGCCTTCCCAGCCTGGCTCACCTTCGACAGCGCTCGGCCGCCCCTCCTCCGTCTGCTCATTCTCCTCATTTTCCTGGTTCTCTGAAGTGCAGGCCCGGGAATCCAGCTGCTGGAGGATGGTGGGGCAGAACTCCTGGAGCTCGCTGCTCCCAATCCGCAACTGCTCGCTGAAATTGTGGGCAGCAAAGAGGTCTCCAGAACTAAAGCACTGAAACACAGGAAGGGCAGGAAGCCACTCAGACCCCAAAGATCAGGCTTGACCTGCTAAGTAGCAACCTATTCAGCCTTCCCAGAGGAAAAAGAAGACAGAGAGGTCCAAATTTCAGGGAATTTGTAGATTCATCTAGTCTAGGGATGAGGGCAATGTGTCCCTTAAACTTAAAAAACTAGTAAGTAAAGCCAGGCGTGGTGTCTCATGCTGGTAATCCCAGCACTTTGGGAGGCTGAGGCAGGCGGATCACGAGGTCAGGAGTTCAAGACCAGCCTGACCAACATGGTGAAACAACAACTAAAAATACAAAAATTATCCAGGCATGGTGACACACGCCTGTAATCCCGGCTACTCTGGAGGCTGAGGCAGGACAATCACTGAACCTAGCAGGTGGAGGTTGCAGTGAGCTGAGATTGTGCCACTGCACTCCAGCCTGGGTGACAGAGTGAGACTCCATCTCAAAAAAAAAAGAAAGAAAAAGAAAGTGAGTAGAGCCGGGCACAGTGGCTCATGACTGTAATCCCAGCACTTTCGGAGGTTGAAGCCGGCAAATCATGGGGTCAGGAATTCAAGACCAGCCTGGTGAAACCCTGTCTCTACCAAAAATACAAAAATTAGCTGGGCACAGTGGCGCACCCCAGAAATCCCAGCTACTCAGGAGTCTGAGGCAGGAGAATTGCTTGAACCTGGGAGGCAGAGGTTGCAGTGAGCCAAGATCATGCCATTGCAGTCCAGCCTGGGTGACAGAGTGAGATTCTGTCTCAAACAACAACAACAACTAGTAAGGAATCCTTGTGGCTCAGCTGGCTATGAAAGTTACACATTATAAGCACAACCATCTGTAAATAAGTGCCTGAGACATTTTAAGAATGACAACATTTCTATCACTGTCACCAAAGTGGCCACACATGGTGGCAACCACTGTAATCCCAGCACTTTGGAAGGCCAAGGCAGGAGGATCACTTGAGGCCAGAAATTGGAGACCAGCCTGGGCAATATAATGAGAGCCCTTCCCTACAAAAAAATTTAACAATTAGCGAGGTGTGGTGGCACATGCCTGTAATCTCAACTACTGAGGAGGCTGCAGCAGGGGACTGTGAGAGCCCGGGAGTTGGAGGCTACAGTGAGTGAGCTATGATCATGTCACTGCCCTCTAGCCTGGGTGACAGAGCAAAACCTTGTCTCTTAAAAAAAAAAAAATTGTCACTAGGGCATGGTTTCTAGAAAACACCATTCTGGGGCTGGGTGCAATGGCTCACGTCTATAATCCCAGCACTTTGGGAGGCCAAGATAGGCAGATCACTTGAAGTCAAGAGTTCGAAATCAGCCTGACCAACATGGTGAAACCCTGTCTCTAATAAAAATACAAAAATTAGCTGGGCATGGTGGTGTACACCTGTAATCCCAGCTACTCGGGAAGCTGAGGCAGAAGAATTGCTTGAACGGAGGAGATGGAGGTTGCAGTGAGCTGAGATTGCACCACTGCACTCCAGCCTGGGCAAGGGAGCAAGACTCCCTCTCAAAAAAGAAAAAACGAAAAGGAGAGACAAAGAAAACACCATTCTGTGTGTGTGCCTGAAGATACAAGCTTCGTACCAAATCTGGCTGCACGTCACAATAGCCCAGGGAGCTATTACGTTAAAATGCAGGTTCCGGCTACTTCTCTGAAGCTGAAATGTCTAGGGGTGGGGCTCCGCCGAAACAGTGCTGCTGCCCGATCAGCCCCACACATCCTCAACCATACAGGACTGCCCTCAGCCTGAGGACATGTGCGTTCACAGAGGCAAGGGGAGGAAAACCTGAAGATTCAAAGTGGGCCGTGGCCAGCCAGCAGCTGCTGCAGTTACCTTGGGAGGTGGCAGGTAAGTGCTTCTCACGAACCGTTCCTGTGAAATCTGCAGCTCCACTTCTAATTATACTGTCTACACCTACATGCCAGGCCTTTTCTGAGTTTGGTCTCACATGGGCGTATCTCTGAGAGTCAGCACTCTGACCGTGCTGCCAAAATAAGTGCCTGGGCTTCTAAAGGCCAAGGGCTGGCCTCCTGTGACCCCGAGATGCTGCTGCTGTTGTGGCAAGTCCTGAGACCCACGTCACTACATCACCTCCGGGGTACACAGAGTGTGCTCCTCCCTGGCTCCGGTGTCTGCTGTGCTCAAGTCATTCTGCATCCACACCACATGGTCACCCCGTCCCCTGCCTTTTTTTTCTTTTTTTTGAGATGGAGCCTCGCTCTGTCACCCCAGGCTGGAGTGCAATGGCGCAACCTCAGCTCACTGTGACCTCCACCTCCTGGGTTCAAGTGATTCTCTCACCTCAGCCTCCAGAGTAGCTGGGATTACAGGCACCCACCACCATACCTGGCTAATTTTTATATTTTTATTACAGACGGCGTTTCACCCTGTTGGCCAGACTGGTCTCGAACTTCTGACCTCAAGTGATCCGCCTGCCTCAGCCTCCCAGAGTGCCGGGATTACAGGCGTGAGCCACCGTGCCCCGCCCGCCCTGTCCCTTTTATCTCCACACTGCACTCATCTCAAGGGGCAGCTCGAGGACACTGCACTCATGAGCCTACACGGATGCCTCTAGGACACTCCTCTCCCCCTCTCATTTCTGCATCCTACAATTACTGTCCAACCCACAAAATGCAGTGCTTCATTTCAGCACTGCTGACTTTGTCCTCTGTTGGTTAAGCTCCCCATCATGCCAGTCAACTCCCTAAATATGACTCATTTTTCTCTATTTCTCACAACACCAGCACAGGGAACAAAGTCGATATATAAAGATTTTGCTGGCTGACTTATATTTGGCTGCCACAAATAGCCCCAGAGTCTGATTAGCAGAGATGATATGGAAGAAAGAACACAGAATTGGCAGCCAAAAAGACCTGGCGTTCCAGCCTGGGTCTCTGCAGGGACTCAATGCAGGACCCTTGGTGTCCTCTCCTGTAAAATGCAGATAATCGCCGCTGCACCTGGAGGGACTGCGGGCTCACTGGGATAGTAACAGGCTCTGGAAACGGTAAACTCTATGAGAAATGCTGGCCTGGGAGCTGTGTTTTCTCAGCATTTACGAGTGACTCAAGTGCAGCTCTGAGGAAGAGTCTGTGGGGCTGAGAACCCCACTTCTAGGCTGCCTTTTTTGTTTTGTTTTGTTTTGTTTTGAGACTTGCTCTGTCACCCAGGCTGGAGTGCAGGGGCGAGATCAGGGCTCACTGCAACCTCTGCCTTGCTGGGTGCAAGCGATTCTCCTGCCTCAGCCTCCCGAGTAACTGGGATCACAGGCACCCACCACCACCCCTGGCTGATTTTTCTAATTTTAGTAGAGTTGGGATTTCACCATGTTGGACAGTCTGCTCTCAAACTCCTGACCTCAGGTGATCCACCGGCCTTGGCCTCCCAAAGTGCTGGAATGACAGGCGTGAACCACTGGCCCCAGGCTGCCTTTTATTAAGGGCTTCAGAACACCTATGCGGGGCGGGGGCAGGGAGGGCGGGGGGTGAGGGTGGGGTCAGAAGGCACCGCAGAAGACTCAGAATATGCTGATTCAGACAACGGGGAAACAAGAATTGGCCTGTCCACTCGGTCTTCAAGACTGACCTGCCTCATCCTACCTCTGCCAAGCTGCCAGGCTACCCTGGGCCAACCAGACAGGAAACCCCGAGAGGCCAGAGACTCCTGAGCAGAGCTCCTGGCTTACAGGGGAGTCTTACCGTGGAGAGGTTCCTGTGTCCCTGCACGTGCTGGGTGACATTACCCCGGCCCACCCCCACATCCAGGTGGTTGAGCAGGGCCTTCAGCTGCTGCAGAGTGAGACTGTCACCCTCGCCATAGCGACGCATCAGATCCTGCAGGAAGGAGGCAGCGCTGAGAGTGGGCGTGCCTGGGGACGAAGCGTGAGCCTCGGGACTGGGTGTCCATAAGCCGAGCAGGGTCAGCAGGAGGCAGCTGTGGAAGGCCGGGTGCAGCAGCTTCATGGTGACTAAATGAGCCTGCGAGAGAAAAAGGCAGGTGAAGCTGAGGCCTCTCCCCGTGTGCCAGCAACAGCGCGTCTGCCACACACTCAACACGGCGAGACACCTTCAGTCTCTGCCTATGCTCCTTCTTGAATTAGCCTTTGAAAAAAACCCTCCTTTTCAAAGGACAGAATAAAAACTAATAAAAAGGACAAACTCAATAGGTTTAATTAAAAAAATAAAACAGCAATGTGATTATGTTTTTTTTTTTTTTTTTTTTAGACAGAGTTTCACTCATTGCCCAGGCTGGAGTGCAGTGGCGCAATCTCAGCTCACTGCAACCTCCGCCTCCCGGGTTCAAGTGATTCTCCTGCCTCAGCCTCCTGAAGAGCTGGGATTACAGGCACACACCACCACGCCTGGCTAATTTTTTTATATTTTTAGTAGAGACGGGGTTTCATCATGTTGGGCATGTTGCTCTCAAACTCCTTACCTCAGGCGATCCACCGGCCTCACCTCCCAAAGTGCTGGGATTACAGGCATAAGCCACTGAGCCCCGCCGGTTATGATTTTTTAGAAGTCCTTTTAGAGGTACTAAAATAATCATGGATTTACCATCTGATCTGGGCTCTGCTTCAAACTAATAAAGGTGGGGTCGAGCACGGGGGTGTGGATGAGAGGTGATCAGGCATGAGCTGATAGTCACTGAAACTAAGCAACCGGTAGATGGGAATTCATCAGATTCTCTGTTTCTTTTCTTTTTTTTTTTTTAAGACAGTCTTGCTCCGTCTCCCAGGCTAAAGTGCAGTGTCGTAATCTCGGCTCACTGCAACCTCTGCCTCCCAGGTTCGAGCAATTCTCCTAGCTCAGTCTCCCGAGGAACTGGGATTACAGGCGTGTGCCACCACACCTGGCTAATTTTTGTATTTTTAGTAGAGATGGGGTTTTACTATGTTGGCCAGGCTGGTCTCCAGCTTCTGAGCTCCAGTGATCCACCCACCTCAGCCTCCCAAAGTGCTGGGATTATAGGTGTCGGCCACCGCACCTGGCCCTGTCTGCTTTTATATATGTTTGAAATCCTCCAAAATAAAGCTATTAAAAAATAAACATGGGCTGGGTGCAATGAGAGAGAGAGAGAAAAAAAGAGAGAAAGACAGGAAGGAGGGAAGGAAGGAAGGGAAAAAGAAAGAAAGAGAGAGAAAAGAAAGGAGGAAAGAAAAAGAAAGAAAGAAAAAGAAAAAGAAAGAAAAGAAAGAAAAA